GACAACAGGTCTTGCTTGGCCTCCTTCCTCTCTCTTGCCCATGTCTTTTTCAGATAGCACCTCTTCCCGACCCTGGAATAACTGACCTGCCAGGCGGGTTCCAATCCCTAGACTAACTGACCCACCAGGGCGGTCTACACATTATATCTCACTCCTAATTTTATATCTTCTTTTAATAATTATTTATTTTGACTCACCAGGTCAAATTAGTGTTGGTCATATGCATATTGGAGTGGGGTTTATTTCCTGAACAAGAGGGATGTACCAGTGGCCTCACTCCTAAAGAAAAATAACTTTACTTTCCCCAGCAATCATCAACTGCCAATACTTCCTTAGGTAGTAGGGATACAGCCTTGATAGCTTGTTCCTTTCATGTTCAAATTTTTAATTCTCTTGATCTTTACAGGTGCATGTAGGTAATCACAGTTGCTGTGAGGTCATATGTGTAACAGCATGTCACATCCAGAGGACAGGACTCTATAGCACTTTCCCCCTTCCTCTGCTTCTTCTCTTCATTCTGTTCCCTCATCTATGTTTCCTGAGCCCTGAGAGGGTGGTGAAATAGATGTGCCATCTGTGGCTGAGCTCTCACAATCACTTATACTCAGCATTTCAGATAGTGGTGGATCTCTGCATTAACTAAAACCCATTGCAATAAGAAGCTTCTCTGACCAAGGCTGGGAGCAGCACAAACCTGCAGGTATAAACCAATATTTAGAAGACAGTTTGTCAAGCCGGGCAGTGGTGGTGCACACCTTTAATCCCAGCATTTGGGAGACAGAGGCAGGCAGATCTTTCTAAGTTCGAGGCCAGCCTGGTCTACAAGAGCTAGTTCCAGGACAGACTCCAAATCTACAGAGAAAACCTACCTAGAAAAAGAAGAAGAAGAAGAAGAAGAAGAAGAAGAAGAAGAAGAAGAAGAAGAAGAAGAAGAAGAAGAAGAAGAAGAAGAAGAAGAAGAAGAAGAAGAAGGCAGTTTGTCAACATGACCATTTAGAAAAACAACATCAAAAGTTTCTCTCTGAAAGCCTTTGATTTCCCAAGGTCTGGGTTTTGACCATGTTTACCGTACCAGGCATGAATTCCCTCTTGAGGTACAGGCTCGAAATCCAATAAAGAAAGCAGCTGCTTGCCCATATACAGTTTTGCACCAGTGGGCACATCTTGCCGAATAGGCCAGTAGTGTACACAAGGTCCATTGCTGGATTAGACCATCTATGACATTTTCTCCAGCAACCTGCATAGCACCTTCCAGCATTTTAAAGCTCCCCAGTCGTGAGAGTGTCAGGAGCCATTTCCCCTCTAAAAATCATTACAGAAACCATCACCCTAGGGAGTCTGCAGGGAACCTCACACCCATAATTATGTTCTATTGAGAAAACCTGCCTCTCACCCAATTTATTTTTTTTTTTTTAGAATGCGCCTCACATTCCAGCTATCCAGGCAACTAGGTGTGGCAACTTGTGACTCTTGGCCTACCTGACCGAGCTACGTGACCGGGACCACGCGGCGAGATTCCATGCCCTGCCCCCCATTCCTTACCATATATAAACTGTAACCCGTCCCTAATAAACAGAGGCTTTGACAAATCTGCTTGGCCTCCTTCTTCTGTCTTAGCTCATTCCCTTCCAGGTAGCGCCCCTCCGAGACCCTGGAATAACTGATTGCAGGGTGGGTTACAAACCCCTAGACTGAGTAACCCACCCCAACGCAATCTACATGAGAGTTCTCTGGTCAACTCAAGGTTTACTTCTTTATGTTCTGCAACCAAAGTTTGTGGTGTCTTCAGCAATAGGCTCTTACCATGTAGTTCTGGTAGGTAACCAAGGGCAATAGCAAAAGCCTGTATTGTTTTTGGAGCCTCTGAGGCCTGTATAACCAAAATGTGGTAAAAAGGTAACCATGTCTGGCTATGAAATTTTTATTTAATAACCCCTTTAAAATAAGAACTGTGTTTCTTATATCAACTCTCTGATGACTCAAATAATGTATCCCCAGCCCACACTATTTTTGTAAAAAAAGAAATCAGACCTGTTTACCAGGTTGCCTTATCAAAACTATCATTTTTAATGTTCCCCAAGTTACCTAGACTTAAAATAGCATCTCTATTTTTGTTGTGTTGTTGGCTTTTCCAATCAGAATTGTATTTCATATCCCAGGTTGGCCTTCAACTCACTGGGGTGGAAACTGTTGTGTATGTCAGCACATCTGGTTTCAAACAAAATTCCTTATTTCTTTATAAAGTATTTTGTGTGTACATATATCTACATGCATGGAAGTCAGAAGACAACTTTCAAGAGTTGCTTCTCTTCTTCAATCTTGTAGGTTCCAGGGATTGAACTTGGGATACTGGGGCTTGGTGGCAAGTGCCTTTATGCACAGCCAGCCTTAGGCAAAATTCTTGATTTCTTTCAATCCAGTTTTTCCTCTGATATATCCCAGTTCACTGAACAGCAACATCTACCCAGCTCCCAAAATGTCTCCATCATAATTGTGATTTCACCTCTCATCTTCATCCCAAATGTATCATGATTTTCTCCAGTTCTCAATGTACTTACCATCAATAATCCAAGGTACCCATCAAGTTTCTCACAATGGTTAGTTAATCAAGGCTTCTCACCTCCCAAACTTAGCCCTACAAGTTCACATACACAAAAGAGCTCCAGTTTTCAAATGCAGGAATGATCTTTTCAGGCTGAAGATTCAGACCTTCCAGTAACATCATCCTTCAGGATGAAGATCAGATTCTTTTTTAAATTTAATTTTTTTTTTTGCTTTATAAATAATACCATTCAAAATTTCCGCCTCCTCTCATTTCCCTCTCACTCCCCCACTCACCCTCACCAAGGCCAGCTGGACTGGAACTGAACGAGCCTGTGATCAAACCGGACTCTCTGAATGTGGCTGACAATGGGGGATGACTGAGATCAATTTTTTAAGGTGAGTCACACAAAGTGGCCTCCATTCACCCCTAGACGCCCCTCAGGCAATTGTTTCTTGCTGCCTCTCTCCTTCCCCTGCAGGGTCTAGCCATAGTAAAAACTGGTGATATTTTCAGTTCCTGTTTCCTATTCCATGGGTGGCCTCACAATAATAATGAAGAGCCAGAGTGGGATGAGAAAGAAAAAGCAGGCAAAAGTAATTTCTATCACATACCCATGACAGTTCTTGTATAGGCAATGTCGGAAAAAGGAAACACAAAGATGACTTTGGTGGACTGGTTGTAAAGGAGAACGCATTTTTTGTGTGTGAGTATTTTCACCAAGCTATGGGCTCCTCTGGATTTTAATATTATAGTGGGGTCAAAACAAGAATTTTCTCTATTGTTGGCTTAACACAGATGCAAAGCGGTGCTCAGGAAGCTGGGAGATTGATGAATAGTTGGTTTGATGTATTTGATCCATTCAGCACTTTGAGTTAAATGTGCATATTCTGTTCAGAATAGACAATAGGGAGGGGCGGTCCCCCTTTCCCTCTATAACTTGCATAACATCAGGCCTCACTGCTTTAACTAATGAGTGTTTAGAAGTCAAAGCTCCTACTGATTCCTGGGAGCCATTAATTTTCCACTTGCAGAGCCACTGTGGAGTTTTTCATAGGCCACATTTCTTAGCCATTATCAGTTATTTCTGAGCAGCAGAGCTGACCCTCAGGGTTTCTGTGTGTGTCACACACGTCATACAATAGTTTCTAAAGTTCCCTCAGAAGGAATTTTACTGAGGACCAGGAAACAGATTCAAAAAAAAAAAAAAAAGGTGCCCATGCTGGCTACTCTGTGACGAAGGTGGCTTGGAACTGTTACTTGGTGGTGTGTGCTTGGGGGGGGGGGTGCTTAATTGATGCAGAATATGAATGTATATTTCAACCAACATATAACCTGGTAGAAGGCAAGCCGAGAGAAACGGCAAGATTATCTTAAACTAACTGCAGTCAGTGCTACCCTTTGTAATAATTTGCTCTATTATTGCTCCAGGTTGATGATTTGCTCAATGGCCTCATTGATCTTGCCTCAGTAAGCTTTCCAGTTTTTACACATTACTCTTGGGAATTGAAAAGCACTGTGTGTCTGAAGATGCTTAGTCAACTTGAAAAGACTCATTTTTGAAAAGGTCTTAACCTGCTTTCAGCTTAAAGCAATTCAGTCTTTGGCCAAGCAAATGTGAGGGCTGAGATGGATGTAACATTAGGATACGCAGGTTTAACCACCACTTGGAAGCTGTTTGTCTAAAAGGCCATTTACAGAACAATGTTGAAGGATATTCAAAATTGAAGGATGTATACTAATAACTGAAGAGAATACACATAACATTAAGATCTTGGCATTTATTATTGGATGGATTCTACATTATTCGATATCATAAATACTTGGTGGGGAACCTGACTAGTTCTTTAAACTCCAGGCACTGAAATCATAACTGGAAGATTTATAATTCGGGGAAGAAGGGCAAGGTGAAGGAAGAAGCAGCTGAAAAGAAAGGAGCTGAAAAGGCTAGGAAGGCAGCTCTCATTCAAACAGAGAGAAATTCAAGTTGGAAAGGCAAGGTTTTTTCTTCTTCTTGTATTTTGTTTTTGAAAAACTTGAGGTCTCATTTTACTCATTTTTTACTCATCAATCATTCCCTGCTATTTAAAGGAAGGGCAATTTAAATATTCTAAACTTGTGATTGCAGCATACAGAAAGCCTAGAAGCTCTACAACTCCAAGGAAACAAATTCAGCAGCATTGTATAAAAATACCAATAATGTTATATATAGCATTAATTTGAATCAAAGTTAATACATAGAAAAAAAACAGTTTCAACTAGTATGTGTTCAAAAGTTAGAGTGTTCTTCACTTTCTTTCTATTTTCTAAAATCTTAACCATTTTAGTAACTGCTAAGCCAACCAGTAGAGATGGTTAGGTAATAGATTTAAAAAAATGACAATCAAAGGCCAATTAATACTGCAAATTAGTCATCTTCTGACAATAACCATACATCACACAGTGATTCAGCAAGACATTACTGTGAACTTCAAAGGCTTTTAATGATTTGTGCAAAGAGACATGACTTGCTTTGGGCTTCCAAATGACTTTATCACTCTTTCCCAAGACTCCAAGAATACTAATAAACAATTAGTTCATAGGACAAAAGGTTTGCCTACATTAACCTTCAACTCACCCCGACATCCACACGTAACATTTGCCTTCCTCCACAGGGAAGAAAACGTTAGGCGTTAGAAAAAGGTCTATACAAAGGTTGAGAAACTTTGAATGTATTACCTTGGAACAATGACACTAGCTAGAGTTTTTCTTTTCCAGAAGGAAAGAGGAGAGGTGGAAACTCCATCTGCCCTAAAGGTTTGAGTCACAGAGTTTATTTGTGCTGAAACTGGTTATCTACTGCTTGAAACTTAAGCAGAATACATCAGCATTTTGGGACCACCTGGGACCAAGGAGAGCTGGGAAATTTCCAACTCAAGTGTAAAACTATTCATTGATATTTACATAATGAGAATAAATGTTTTTCCTAAGATAGCATTTCCCTTTAGTGTCTTAAGACCACCAGCAGGAGAGGGAGGCACAGAAATTCTATTACATTAATAGTCTTTGTTTTTATGGCTTTGGCATTTATTAACTAGTGGGAGCTGTTTATTGGGTCATAAACTTTACTAATGGGGATATTATCTCTAAATTATAAATCTCCTTCAGTATATGGCTTAGTTATAAAACAAATAATTATTTAAAGTGTCTGTATGCCTGCAATGTATCATGTTTATCGGCATGAATCCTATAATGGCCATTTTATTGTTAATTGTGAGCTTGAACCAGGAACTGCCAGGGCAGGGACACAGATCCATGAAACAGAATGAATAGTCGTCACCCCCATGAACTCAGGAACATTATCATTGGTTTGCTTCCTTTTTCTTCTTGCTTCTTAAGTGAATTACATTACAAGCTCGTACAAGGGCTAAATTATCTATACAGTTCAACTCGAGGGAAAGACAATTGAGTGAAGGGTTGAATAGGTAGGTGACAGATGTGTCAGCTTGAAAACTTCTAGGCAAGTATCACACCTTCTAAAAGCTTGCTCTCTGGGAAGTAGAAAAATCTTAAAGTGACAAAATAGCTTGGTATTGTTGGTTGTCTTTTTTAAAAATGAGGACAAAAATCAAGCCATAAAAATTAGAGTTTTATGAGCCCACTGTTCTAGTATCTTTTGTGAAGACTAGCTCTATGGGGTCAGTTCTACTGGTGCACATGAAACGTCCTAGGTTTTTGGAGAGAAGTAGTTTACTGACTAGTTTTGATTAAAACAAAAGGAAAGAGCCATTGTTGTCAAGTAAACTGGACTACATAAGTAGAAGCCAACTCATTTTGGGACAAGGGGATACTTGAAATGCAGAATGAAGGGATACAGAGATAAAAGGGGACCCTTGAAATGTCCTTGGTTCCTCTTCTTCCCAGGATGACCCCTGACAAGCACAGTCCCATTTTGACAGACTCCCACTGCCTCTGAAAGAAGCAGATTTATGTTATCCAGTACCCAGCACTGGGAGTCCGGCATGGCCTAGAGAAGAATTCTGGACACTGAAGCTCCATGGTGATAGGTTGTAATCAGATCCACACTATATGATAAGATTTCTTCTGTGTGAGGAAAAAATCAAAGCAGAGAAATGCAGGAGAGATCCAGTGTAAATTTTAAACCAGTTAAACCTTTGGCCTGGAGGTTGAGAGGCTAGTAGTACGTGAACCAAACCAAAACAAACCCTTGAAACCGTCCACAATCACATCTCTAAATATTTTAGGCATATTTAGGCATAATACATTTTTGGTCATGCTCTAATTATACCCACATGCATATATTTCTAAGCTAGCAAGTTGATTTTAGATATAAAAAGGCACTAAAAATATAAATACAGCATATGTTTCAATTTCTCTCTCTCTCTCTCTCTCTCTCTCTCTCTCTCTGTCTCTCTGTGTGTGTGCAGAGAGGTTTTTTCCCATAACTTCACTAACTTCAGAAATAACACTCACTCTAGAGAGGTTTAAGAATTATTTTTGATGAGGTGTGTTGCTACAAAAGTTAATTATGTAAGTAATAAACATGTGTCAAAAGGATTTCAAAAATGCTTAACAGAATCACAACTTATTGCTCTGATATAATTTGATTTTATATTGTCATGCATAGCTGTCAAAAATCATTTTCTTTTCACATTGTAATGAATCAAATTATATTAGATGGAAATTATTATAAGATTCTTTGGTATTCATAAATAATACATACAATAAAAATGGTCTACATTGTTTTCAATGGTATTTTTAATAGTGCTGGTATGACAGCAATATAGCAGGCTGTTCTGAAGAACTACAGTGACAGGAGATTAAATGTAGTTCCTGGATTTCCATTTAAAATAAAACTTGCTTCTTTTTGTTTTTAATGAAATTATGTCTAGTAAAATAAACATGGCAGAATGAGAACAGTAAATCAAAGAGTTGATTGAAGCTTTCACGGTCAGTTGTCCTGTAAGCCATACACGTCCTCCAAAAAGTCAAAGTACCGAACGAATTTTACAGGAATAGGTGATGGCATTCCTGTCCAAATGTCTTCACATTTCTGGAAAGAAAACAAAGAAGGACATAATTTGAGCTATGTTTCAAAGTTCAGTTATGAAATTTCAGGGGACATTGCTTTGTTTTGATTACCTTTTAATCTTTTAATAAACTTTTAGTGATATTGTTTGGGGGCTGACCCTTGCAGAGGACCCATATTTGGTTCTCAGCACACATACATTGTAACTCACAACTGCCTGTAACTCTAGCTCCAGGGGACCTAACACTTTCTGACCTTCATGGGTTCCTGCATACATACGGCAAAATACTTAGCTTAACACACACATACACACACACACAATATTCATTTAAAATAAAAAGAGTAGAGGTTTGTACATTCTACTTAGGTATCAGAAGGACTTTGAGGAAGAGCATATTCTTATTCTTAATTATTTGTTTACTTCCTGTATTAGAATTATATGTTCCCAATCTTTACCATATAACTGCAGCCCCTTCCATGGAGAAAGACAAAGAAGAAAGGATGGATGAGTGAAGGAGAAAGGAAGTGATATGGATGTCTCTCTATATGTTGTGAATAAGTTTTATTACCATTGGTTAATAAAGAGACTGATTTGGCCAGTAGTCAGGCATAATAGAACCAGGCAAGAAATCTAAGCTGAGATAGAAGAAGAAGGAAGGTGGAGTCTGGGAGACAGCAGCAGCTGCAGGGGAAACAAGATGTGAAGTAACAAACTCTGAGCCTCACAGTAAAATAAAGACTAGTACAAATGGGTTAATTATAAATTATAAGAGTTTGTTAATAATATGCCTGAGCTAATAGGCCAAACAGTTTGTAATTAATATTAAGCCTCCAAGTGGTTATTTTAAAAGCAGCTGTGGAACTGGACAAGATGAGAAACCTCCAGGTACAAAGAAGGAAAGAAAAGGGAGAATAGAAAGAAGGAATAGGAAAAGGAGTATTTTCCTGTCCCTTTGAAAAGAACATGGCCACATGAATGGCTATGGCTTGTGCATGAAAAATAGATAGGCAAGTTCAAGAATGACAAAGTTGGAGAAGATCAGGTCCAATTTATAACCATGAGCCAGGCCCAGCTGGCTGACCTACAGACCCACAGATAAGAAAAATCAACTTCTCTGTTGAAACACTGTAATTCTGGGAGCTAGGCAGTACTAATGCAGTGGCAGGTTCTCTGAAACAGTATTGAGATCTCACGTTTTACAACCAAGATGGTATTTCTAGCATCTGCTTGGTTACTGTTCCTTCAATAAACCATTAAGAGTAGTAGGTTGCTCAAGGTACGCATAAGGTATCTTACATACAGTCGGGTGCTACAAACGTGCTTTGTATCAATAATGTATGGCATAAATGGCAGTGGTCCTGTAAAACTATGCCGGCAGCCAGGATTGGTCCTATATACTTCTAACCTCGGTGCCTAGGAGGCTTAGGCAGATAGATTGTGAGTTTGAGGTCAGTTAGTGCTACAGAGTGAGTTTCAGATTAGCCTGCACTATCTATATCTATAGTGAAATATAAATGGCAACAACAAAAACCCTCTAAACCCCCCACTTTCCTCAAATAAAAACCCAAGAAAACAAAACAAACACCAGCCACACCCCGGAGGATGATAATGGAGCTGGTTCATTCTTATGGCCTAGTGCTATTGTAGCACAAGACATAGCTCATGTAGGAACCAGCCATGATAAGCTAAATAGAACCAGACCATCCAAAGACAGTTCTTTACTTCCAACCATTATTACCTGCCAGTGTAGGACTCAGCCATGGTAGCTTTAATCGAGGCCTGAGTCTCAGTAGTTTACCCTGAAGCAATACCTGGTTACAGTAAGTACCACAAACTGAGATTACCTAAGCACCACCCAAGAACAGACCATCCAAAGGAAATGCCTAACATTCCAACCCTTGTAGATAAAATCACCTGCCAGCACACACTCACCAGAACACCCCTAGACAAACGTCAGCCAATCAGAGGCCCTGAAGCTTAGAAACTCTTCACCCCCACCTTTACTACTACAAAAACCCAACTCGAACTGAGGTCTGGGCTCTTCAGTTATTCCCATACGTTGGACATATGGAGAGACCGAGTTTGCAAACTTATATCAAATAAAGGCTCTTTGCTTTTACATTTGGGACTTAGTCTCCTTGTTGGATTTTAGGGAATTTTGCGGATCTAGGCATAACAATTCATACGTGTATAGTAAGCAAATCAACCCCTCTGCTTGTCAGATAAAAGTTCTACACGATTATAATTCGCTTTTAAAACATTTGAATTTATTTGTGAGTGTGTGTGTGTGCATACAGATGCACACGTACATCCATGGCCTGGAAAGCTTGTGGAGGTCAGAATACAACTTGGGAAAATTGTTTTTCTCCTTCCATTATATGGGTTCCGAGGATTAAACTCAGATTGTCAGGCCAGCAGCAGCCCCATAAACCTGTGTTTATACATCTTGTTTATACATAACTTTCTCTTATGTTTGATCTTGTGATGTTGTATTCATTGTAGCCCTAGAACAACATACTATACCATATGTATTCAAATATAAATGTACCATATGATCTAGTATGTGCTATATTGCAACATCACAGTTCATGTAAGGCCTACTCTAGGTATTTACAACAATGTAATCACTAATAACATACCTCTCAGAACATCGCTCATTCTTAAGTGATACTAAGTTTGTCTGTGTACATACACACATATTTATTTACACACACACAAACTTTTTGTATAAGCTATACTGGTCAATTAATGTTAGTTCCAGCCAGGAAGAAAGTCCACAACTGGTCCTATCACAAGGTTGTTTTATATTCAATGCTCTATTTCTTCATTTTACTTTTCCTTTTTTTTTTCAATGCTGGGTTTCACCTTTGAGCCTTGAGCATGCTAGATAAATACTAACTTACATTCATGGCTATAGAAAAGGTTCTAACCCTTCATCAGCATTCCATTAATATCTGAATCACAAAGTATCACAGGAACGGCTAGGTGATTTTATGTGATGGTGTTCTGGAAGTATACTGGTTCAGTGCAGATACAGCTGAGGATGACAACAGCAATTCATCAGGGGTTGAAGCACCAAAGGGTGTTCTATCCATAGTCAAAAGTATAAGCAAAAGCCCAGAGACTTCAAAACCTCTTTGAAAGAAAAAGTGAGTAGTCCAGTTTGGCCTAAGGCACAGTACAAAGTGGTAAAAGGTGATTGGAAAGAGAATCTGGGGTCAAATTTAAGCCTTCCATACTGTTTCATACTTGAGAGGAAGCCACTGGTCAGTGTTGGCCAGAAGAACAATAGTATTGTGGTTGGAAATTGGTTAGATAACTTGCTGCATGTTGGGAAAATGAAGTGTTAAATATGCAAAGCAGTTCTATGGTGACAACAGTAATCCTGGGGAGAGATGACTATGGCAGAATCAAGGGGGCTGTAGCTGGGCTTCAAATCAGGAGCCATCTCAGAAAGATTCTGAGCAGAACACCTAAAAGTGCAAGACTTGAAATTTGAAATGGTAGGAAAATAAAGAGAGCAATGTTAGGGTTGAACTATATGCCCCCAGAAAAAAACACTGACATTTTAACCCTCTTCACCTCAGAAAGTGACTACAGATGTAAATAGATAAGCCAAAGATGATGAAGTCATATTGGCATAGGGTTAGCCCCAAATCCAGTATGACTGGCATCCTTATATAAGGATGGTTACGGGAAAGCTGACCTGTTGGAGAGGATGGCATATTATGACAAAAGCAAAGTCTAGTGTTACATAATTGTAAACCAAGAAACACTGAAAATGAATGGCAAACAGCCAGGATCTGGGAGGACCAGTGGAAGGAGCATGGCAAAGGCATCCGAGGGCCCCAAAGCCTTGCTGGCACCTTGTTTTATACTGTTAGCCTCCATGATTATGGGATTATATATTCTACTGTGTGGAACTACCAAGTTTGTGGTTCTTTGTGTACTTTGTTAGGTCAGCCCTAACAAACACATGCAGGCAGAGCAGTTTTAAGAATTCTAAATTTAATATCTGACAGTCTCAAACTATCACAGCCCAGGAGGCATTAAGCAAGAGGAATGGATTCACACCCAGTTTAGGAATCCAAGAGTCCATAATCAAACTGTCAGCAGCACTGGCTCATGCAATCATCAGACTGCTTCAGCTTCAAGAAATGCCACTGTTGTTCTAGCCTCTGCCTTTGCATTGTGTTCTTTGTGTGTCTCTGTGTCTTCACATAAACATCTCATAAGGATTGCAATCACTAGGTATGGAGTCTACCCTGACCTACTATTGCGTCATTTTAACTAATGCAAGCACCCTATTTCCAAATCAGGTCATATTCCAACATTCTGGATAGATATCATTTGGGGATTAATAATAGGCAACCCCATATAATGTCAATAAGCAAAATAAGTAAAGCAGGATAGAAGGGAGTTTTTACTTATTTTAAGTGAAGAAATATGGATTAGAGAGAGAAAAAATAGTACAAACTTGAACTTTATTTTGTATGCTCATGGGATACCAAGGTAGAGTCTATGCTCCGCCAGAAATAGGACATCCATAGCATATCCGCCTCTCTTATTGCTCAGAGATCATTGAAGAAGAGGGGATGGAAAGCCAATAAGAATCAGAGGCAGTGGATGACTACAAGAAAATGGTGTTTTTTGGACACAGCGGGGCAGCTGTATATGTGAATGCACAGTAGTTGTGACAGCATGCCCAAGACCTGCAAGCTCAAGCCAGACAGACTCCCAGCGTGGAGAGGGGCGGTGGGCACCAAGTCTTACTCCTGGCTGAGGATCTATTGACTACTGATAACTATTGGCAGCAAGAGAGTCTGTTTTCCTTACGGGTGTGGCTCCTGGTAGGTGGACTGCTCCAGGCAAGGCCACACATCTAAGAGTATATGGGCAATATAAATTTGATTTGGTGATTTAAAAAGGAAGTGAGGTAGATCTTGGAGGAGTTGAGGAAAGGGTGAACACGATTAAAATACATTGTACAAAATTCTCAAAGACCTAATTAAAATGCGCAACA